CGCTTCCCTGAAAGGTTTTGTTGAAAACGTTGACAGAAGCGCGGAATTGGACTGTATTGGCGTTTTTCTGGCCATAAAATCGGTTTTTTTTTCAATTGAATCAGATAATGGAAATTTGAATGAGAAAGTATTGAACTAAATTCGGACTTCCCATTACAGTCTGTTATCCAGCTTTGCATAACTGAGAAATTAATATAAGGTCTGGCAACAACCAAATAAACTTATTTGACTTTTTACTAACCTCTGGCTATCTTTATTTTCAATCTTGTTCTACTCACAGGGTACCATAACTTCGACTCCGCGCGTTCCATTCCGACTCCACTTGACTTTTATTTCATAAGTTTTAGGGCCCTCATTAAACCATTTTTACAGCCACGACTTGACTTTTGTTTTAGCTGGCCATCTCGGGCTGCTCTTTTTTAATTCCCCTCGTTGATTGCTGTGCCCAGTGCCCCATTGATTCTGAGCCCGATTCGTTTTCGTTATGGCCATCTATAAGTGCGTAATTTACTTAAGCTGCTTTCGGCTTAATATGCGCATTTTAATAGATTTGTTCCACTATCGTCAGGGCAATAAATTAATAAAACGCTCAGCCGCAGCGGCCAACCTGCCTTCCCTCCTTTTCCTTCCTACTCTGGCCTATCCGAGCATTCTGCACTTGACTGGGGCCTGGGTATTACACTGGCAGAAATTACATTCAAAGTACATCATGATAACTGAATACGAGCAAAGTGATCCTTTTTACCGAGCTGACCACCTCGCATGAACGACTTTGCCACAAGTCACATCGGAGCCAAGAGCTGCGCCTATTTTCGCGCAGTGCAGAGGCGGGGAACGGGCTGAAAGCTTTTCAGCTGCGGCTGAGTGCCTCTAAGATGCAACTAATGATAACGGCGGCGCAGACACCGACTTTGGCCATGTGGATGGGCTTGGGCATGGCTGGCTTTTAGGGGCTGTGGCGGAGATGCAGCTAGTAGATGCAGCTCGATTAAGCTGCTTACCTCCTCTGCAGGGGCGTTGCGTTTTGGGTGTAGCTGCCGCATCAGCGAGGTCGCCGCAGCTGACAGCTCAATGGCCCCATGTGGGTTGAGTTTGTTTTGTGCCAGCTCACAGTTGGCTCCATTCATAATTATCAACCTGGCAAGCTGCCTGCCTCTTCCCGCTGCGAGCGGGGGAACTGGAGGAAGAGGCGGACGGCATCGCCGCGCTTTTCACGCTTTGGCGGCTCATTAAAAGAACCGCAACTGACATTGCCCTTTGTCCCAAAACTTGCGCGCCTTGCCCGGCGGCCACGCCCTCTGGCACTGAGAACAACCAGCATGGCTTACTATTGTGCAGTTGAATTACTACAGACTTTTATGCGATTGTATTTCACCTCCTCAATCTGTAACACCAAACTGCGCTTGCAGTGTAGGCGTTGCAGTGGGCGTTGCTTATTGTGCCACATGCAGAAGGCTATGAATTATGTTTGCTCGCGCAAGATTGATAGTTCTCCGCAGGCTCCAAAGGCGTCATCCGCGTCGCAATGTTCCTCCTTGGGCCCGAATCTATCGGAGTGCGAACTCACCCATGCCGATGTCATTCCCGTGACCCAGTTAGGTCGCCCAAAGTGAGCGGGCTGTTCTTTAATTAGCATAGAGGCAGGTGCGCAATGTGATAATTTGTGGATGAGTGCCATTTGAATATTGCCCCAACTAAGGAATTTTCGGGGCACATAGCCCACTCTGAGGCGCAGCGAAGGGGGGGAGAGGAGATGCTGGTGTCAAAGGGGCGCGGCAGCACAGAGAGAATTGCAAATTGACCTGCTCATTATGGAATTTGGCCATCAATTTGTGGCGCTTTAAAAGGGTTATGCCCGAATTTCGAGGATAGCCTGTTTAACTCTCGGAGAAATATCTCTTGGGCAGGACATAATGGACAGGTTTGGAAAGGCAGACTAAATCAGCCACGTCCACATCCATATTCAGCTTAACTTCCGTGATGGACTCATCGAGTGCACTTCGAGCACTTTACTGCGTAATTGTGAGTCCTAAGAAAGTTATAAGTCTCAGCAGCGCTCTCCCCCTCCCCCAAAAGCCTTCCAGCCAGAAGACATTTCACTGCAGCAACAAGTATGCAGCAATTTGAATTTGGCTTCTCTGCATAACAGAAATCCCTCTTGGCATCTGGCACTCACCTCCGGCACGTGTGCGAGTGGGCTTATTCCCATAGAGACCCGTTCTAATCCCTCTGCCATGCATCCATGCATCCATGCATCCATCTCTGCTGCAGGCTGGACCGAAAAGGTTAAATCCAATTCGGCTCAGCTTTTCGGTGGCCTCCTCGCAATCCCCTCCTGCGCAAACAACAACAATGGAGCACAGAGTGGGGTCAGTCGGAAAAAAGTGAAGTAAAGTACAATATAGGAGGAAAGTCTGGATTTCCAAAGTGCAGCAGCCACTTCAATGGCATGTAATCCCTTTAAACGTGAAGCTTCCATCGAAGCCCATATGAGTTTCGATTGGAAAGGGAGTGGAAATCAACTTTAGATGCCGCCACACTGTATTTGATTTCATTACCGCTCCATTTTATTACTTTTCATGTACGGACAATCAAACATTGATGTCAGAATTTAATATGCTGTATAAATCGTTTTGAGCCATTGACACATTCATGCGATCGTTCATTCGTTCATTCGTTCGTACTCGCATTCGTATTCGTATCCGTAGAATCAACAAACCAGAGTTGTCTCCATGGAATGTAACTGCCCATCTCCGTCACCCATTTTTCGGTATTTGTGTGGAAAAAATATTTATATTTACACGCAGCTCATGCAGCGGAGTCGCCACTCCACTGCTTGCCACACATATATTTCTCGTTATTTTTGTTCTTCTCTGCTTTGTGAATAGCACACATGCATGTAAAAGGGGAGCGGTGGGGCATTTTCACTCTTATTGCTTTTCGAAGCTTTTCCATGGCTCACATTTCATTTATTTTCACTCCAGCCTGTATGGCTGTGTGCACTTCACAACTTAATACACTTTATTATTGAAAATATTTTTTATTACAAGTGGGCTGGGCCTGATCGCTGAGAGGGTTTCCCGGAATTGTGTACCACCACCCTGCGCTTTTCTTTTTTCCCTTTCTTTTTTGGCCCTGACACGCAGCTCTCATAGTTCCGTTTGCTGGGCATTGATTTGCTGCACTCGTTTCCACGAAATACAAACATAAATACATGCAACGCCAACACTCCTCTCATGCATGCACATAGTAGTAGCCACTTCGCAGCATTTTTATATGCTTTTTATGGCGGGGGTCTGATTTTGATATTCATGTTGCATGTTGCTGACTTCTGAAGTTTTTGGCAATTTGGAACTTTTTCTTTCTGTCGAGTGGGCGGAGCTTCGGCTTGGCCCCGAAAAAAGTGAAAAAACAATTGGATAGCCCTCTGTATTGTTTCTTTTTAATTTGCATTTATTTTTCGCTTTTGTGCGTTTCGTTTTGAGGTTTTTCGTTTTTTGTGCCGTATGCAAATCTCGCCCGAACTCTTTAATGAACTAATTTTGCCGCCGAGCTGCGATCTCCGATTATTTATGTATTTCTGGATTCAATTAGGCCTCCCATCCTTGTTTATTTATGTGGCGCTGGCTGCCTCATTTGCAAAAGTTGCCCGAGAAAAGATTCGCTGCGCAGCCTCACTCGCTGTTTTGTGTATGTGTCAGTTTGATAAATGATATCAATTTCTTATAGACCCCACACTCACACTCCCACTCTCACACACACGCAGCACAGAGGGCATCAAAGTTTGTTTTAGAATGTTTCTGTGTTGCCTCACTGGCAGCCGCCCCTTCAAGTCCAAGTCCACTTTGCCAATTTGACACTTTTAGCGATGCGCGTGTGCCTTGGCACTTGAATTCCAAATGTATCTCAGGCCTGTCAGCTGGGAGCATGAATTTTTAATGCGGAATGGGCAATCTCTTAGGCAGCCCGCCGTCCTCCCAATATGCTAATCGAGCCAGCGGGTTGCGTCGCATCAAGCGGAAAACTTTTCGTTCCCAGATTTGACTAAGTAAATTAACCCAAAAATTCTGCCGAAGAGTAAATGCTGAGCGGCCAACAAGGGCAACAGGTATACACAGCAACAGCCAAGTTTGAATTATTTTTTTACTGGTTACCGACTCTAAATTGTCATACCCTCTTTCCAACCAAAAATGCTCCGGCAAATTTAAAACGCCAACGGGCACTCATAACGAGCATACAATTAACACGAATTCCCATGGGCAGCCAGCTATTAGTCCAGAAAACACACATCGCAGATACATTTGTATCTGCAGACCCACCAAGTAGCCAGATACAAAAATCCGATCCGGCGACAGCCGGTCGGCTAAAAGAGCCGCGGGCCCAGATCTCCCATGTAAATGGGAGGGGTGGCGGACTGGAAAAACTTTCGGCCACTAATCTATAATGCTGTCAGCCATTAAACAACTGAAAAACCAAATTTGTAACTCATTAGCCAAGGGGAGAAAGAAGGGAACACAAAATAAGAAAACCGAAAAACGAAAAACGAAACTAGCAAAGTGAACGACTGATAAATGCCACTCGGCTTGGCTGTCTCATTTGGACTGCCAAATAATATTTAATTATAAACAAATAAACGAGACCCCGGGGTTAAACGCGTCCCGCAAAAGGTGGCGAGTGATTAATTATTATGTCAGGGAATTAAATCAAATATTTGAGTTGGCTTATTTGGGTGTCTGTTCGAAATCACGAAATGCAAATAAAAATGACTTTAAGAAAGTCCATAACAATTTCTTCTCTCGCTGGCGGCGGCATGAAAAATTGAAAAGCCAACAGGCCGCGTTCAAAGATAACATAATCCATGGCCTGGAACCGTGAGCAACCTTTTCTTGGCTTTGTTTTCATTTTCAAGGGAGATACGAGGGAAAACATTAGCATATATCAATGCCAAATGCAAATAAATCATCAATAACGTTTCTCTGCCACTTATGCACCACTTACAGATACTTACCCGCGACGAAGATACATACCTGGCGAACTGCAGCTGTGCAGCCTGCATTATTTTCCCGGAGGACTGGAAGGAGGACTGGAAGAGGGAAACCCAACGCCAACGCGTCTCGTCGACTGTCATGTGCGAGTTTTGTGGCCCCTAACTAAGGCGCCTTGCATAAATTTACGCCAGAGGATAAGCCAAAAAAAGGGAGATGTGAAGAATACTGGCAGGGCAAACATAAAGCAATTTTATGCGTTTTTAAAATGCGGCAATTGACTGAAACAACAAAAGCGAACTGAGACGAGTGGAAAATTCAGGCAGGCCGCATGTGAGCACGTTTTCCGCTTTTCCGAAGGGTAAATCAAATACGAGGCCCAGACCGCATCGAAAGGAACAAGTACCCAATACCCGCTGCCATATCTCGGTCGCTGATAAGCAATATAACGCAAATGCTTGATGGTTTGTTGACGACCAACAAAAGTTCTTGAGCGTGTGTGTAAACATTGGCCCGCCCGTCCTGGAAATGCTGAAAAACAGAAAGCAGCAGGCAGCAGGCAGCAAGGACATCGAAGGAGCCAGCGCTTATAAATGCGCTACAGTTACAAATTGTAGCCACAGCTGTGCGTGTGTGTTCTGCTGCTGTGCGGCACATGTGCGCTCTAAACCATTTATAAATGTAACAAAAGCAACGCACACACGCCAACGCCAGCAACGCCAGAAAAGCGAAACGGGAAAAGTCTGGGAAAACAGTGAAAAGCTGAAAGCTCTTGGCACAAGTGCAATGCATAAATATAAACAAAGGGATACGAACTGAAGACAGCGAAAACACGATACAAGGTGTAATGTTTTTTTGCGATAAACAAGTCCGGCCATAGATTCATAATTTAAGGCGAGAGCATTTGAAGTGGCAAGTCTTTAAAGTACTTTCAACTGCTAAACTCCAAGTTTAGTCCAACTGCCTAAGCGTAATACTTAAAATTCAAGAAACCGAAACTAAGTGCGAAATACAACCAAAAGTTACCATAATGATGTGAAGATATAAGTGAGCCATTTCCCAGAAGGCTGGGTGCGCCGCCATTCGTGCTTGGTGATAGAAGTGCAATACGCGCAATTGTATCTGCAAGATACATTGGCGTTGCGCCTGTAATTTGGTGTGTTGGCTTAATAGCAGCGCGGCGCAAGCAAATATTTAAAATTGAGCAATTTATATGCCAAATGTGTAATTTTGATGTTTGGCCGAGAAACATTTCGTGTATGTGCCGAGCAGATGTCGACAAAACAGGACTACAGGAACTTTAATTGCGACCAGTTGGCGAAGTGAAGTGCATTGAGATACAAAGCGTGTCCATAAGATATTTTTGCAGCAGGCTGCCTACGTATACGTATGTGTGTGTGTCTGCGTATGTGATGTGCTACAATAAACCCGCAAAGAACATTAATTGCAACTGCTGCTAGTTGCTAGCAGATGGCTTAGTTGGATCTCGGACTAAACGAATTCGCATCCAAGAGATGCAAAAATATTTGAGATACACCAAATGAAATAGAACAAAGAGCTCTTTTGCCGCCTTGATTCCACAACTGCAGTTTTGCAGTTATCCGAATTATTTCTAATATACCATATTATTTCCAGAGCATCGTCCACAATTAGCGCCATCGTAGCCAGGGAGCCAAGAAACAACCAATGGAACATGTTGATGCCGGTGCGGGAGTACAACAAGCACACAGCCAAAATACCAAACTGCAAGATGAGGCAGCGGCCAACGCTTAGGGCCACCTTCGCATCCCTGCTGCTGCTCCTCCACGTGGCCCAGACGCTCGACCCGGCGGCTGCCAGTAGTTCGGCCGGAGGAAGTGGTGCCGCAGCGGCCGGAGCCGCAGGTCCTGCCGCGTCCGGTGGAGCGGGCGGCGGGAGTCTGAGCAGTGGACTCAGTGGACCCACTCTCATTGCCAATCTCACGGAACAAGGCAGTCCCGGTGTGTATAACTCGACAATGGGTTAATGCTAACTAGCGCATATATAGTATAAGCATGGCATTTAGGTGGCACTTTGCTGACCTTTTTACCTTTTGGCCCTCCACCTAAACGACGTCGCCATTTCGGTGTTTGCAAGAGGTTTATGCGCGGTCCTTTCTATGAAAATCGCTTAGCAGAACATCCATTTCGAGCCAACTAATAAATGAAATTGCATTGCCCAGTTTATGATTTTAAACAAATATTACTATGTTTCGAGACAAGCGAGACGCGAAATGAAAACGAATTCATGATAATCTTACCATGAACTTGGAAGGTATGTCCGTTCCGATGTTTGTGTATTTCCTCGTGCGCATTTCCGGTTTCTGCGGGGGTGGCAAACTATTAGCCACTTGGCGCCCACTCCCCACCGCCACTGAAGCAAAACACTAAGCATCAATTAACCCAATTTTCAGAATCCATTTTCACCTGCAGTTACGCTTTCAGCTCATAGCTCCGCGTGTTTCACAGCTCCATACTTCATACACGAGTATATGCCTTGCTATGTTTTCAGAAAGCGAGTTGCTCCTTTGCCCTTTTCTGCCAGCAAATACCCAAGTGGCGGCGCTGAAACCACCGCCCATGTCCCAATCCCCAACCCACCTAATCCTATAGGTTTAATGCCGGGCACTGTTGTCCAGACTTTTTCGTGTTCCGTGCCGTTTCTTCCTTTCCTTCACAGGCGGTGGCGCTGTTGTTGTAGTTTGGTTTGGATTGGTCACTGGATCTGGACTGGAAATGGAAATGGAAATGGAGTGGAAGCTGAAATCATAATTAATCCATTGATTTTGAACTTTTTCAGCTTAAATAATTCGCACAAATCATTTCAGCAATAAATACGAGTTCTTTCGCAGCATTTAACAATGAATATTTCAGCAAACAAGAGTTTTTTCAGCCAAGGTTCCCTTATTTGTTTTAAATAACATGGGATCCAATTACAAATTGATGAGCAGGTAATGAACGCAGCAAGAAAAAATTTAATCATTTTAATTTGGAAGCGCCACTGTTGCAAGCTTTGATTTGCATGTAAAGTCATAAATAATTCATTTTAACACATTCAACATTTATGAATATTTTTTCCTGTGCTCTTATATTCTAGCTGTCGCTATTAATCAAATTACACGTTTACTACATGCATTTTTAAATTGCTTATTTATGTCGCTACGTTTATGCAGCCGCCTGGAAATTTTGTGTGGCAGAGTGTCATAAACTGCAGAATACGGGTGGCTTGATTGATTCTCCCAGTCAAAAATAGGCGAGGCCAATAAATCTGCAGGGATCTAACTACACTTGGGATACATTCCGGAACTTCTGGATCTCTGCTGCACAACTCCAGATACGCGAATAGAAATTATTTATAAAAACGTAAATCCTTAAAGTGCAGCAACAAAGCTGAAAGGTCAACTTCTTTAAAGTAATTCTTAAAATTTCTTTAAATAGTTGCTTGCCGAATAAAGTCTGCTTATATGTTTAGAATTTTTGATAAAAACTATATTATTTGAAAAATGAAATGCCTGTACTCAAACAATTATATATTCAATTGTCAACGATATTGGAGCAGAAATTGTCGAATTAATGCCTGCATAAATTGTAAAAGTGACTACAGAAAATGGTAGTAACTAATTTTGCAACTGTGTTAACTAGCCTTAAGATCTGGAAATAAAAACTCATTTATTAAACACTGGAAATGGTCTTGTGGTGCGTCATCCTTTTTGGTTTCGTTTACATGTCGAACTGTCGATCAAGCAACTCCTCAGTGCCGATGGAGGGTCGGGGACGCAGGAAGTCGTCTTAACCTGTCCATAAAGATGGCACTCCTCGGCCTACACGATTGCCGTTAAGAACTCGTTTTAATCTGAGACTTTTACCTACCTTCCTGCGGTGCTGCGGCTCTTGTTATTGCCGTTTGCCGTGAGATACGTTTTTTATGCACTTTCTGACTGCATCTTGATAGGCCGGAGACGGAGACGGACCGGGCCAAAAGATTGACTCCGGCCTAGTGTTGATAAGAGCCCGCTCGAACGGCCGATAAAGTCAATCAATCAGCTGGCAGACAGCCGCGGCTCAAAGCGGACTTAATTATCTGTTTAGATAGCTGAGAGGCCGAAAATAGCCCGCGTTCGTGTGAGTGCTGTGTTAAATATGCTACAAAAGCGGTAATTTAATATGCCAATTGTGTGGCGAACAATGACCACAGTTGGCTTATGGCTATGGCCATATTTAGCTGGCTCGAACAAAACTTGGAATGGCCTTTATAAACATATTAGCAAACCATTTGAGCAGCTTAACAATTTGCTTGAAAGCATCGCGGCTGTAGTGAAGATATATGGCGTACAGATATAAGATACAGAGTTCATTCATAAGATAGACTGGTATAATGGAATAGGTATAATGAAATCTTTGTTCGTCTGAGGTAAATCGACTTTTATTAAAATAAGCTTTGTTAACTGCGCGCAAATTATTATTCCGAATCAATTTTCGGCGCCTACGGTTCACCTGGATAAATAAACAGGCAACTCAAGCATAGTTAACATATTACTTTGGGATTGAAGCTGAATTTATTTATTAACTCTGGCGCATTCCTGCTAAAGGAATTTATCTTAAATTTGATTTCGTTAAATTGCCTCTGAAATTATGTGCTGAACAATTTGCCAATCCAATTCCTGCCGAACCTAGAGCCACCCAAGAGGAAAACTTGCCGATTGCCAGGCCCTGGCCGAGCAGAAATAAAACTTTCACATAATGGCTCCGAAAGTTCCACACCCCGGCGCAGAATTGAGCTCACCTCTTTGCTTTGGCCGGGCCCAAAACTTGTTCTTTCGCCTGCCAAACAAATAGTTGGCCATAAGAAGTTGTTCAAATATTTATTTACTTTTTCAAGTTGCAAGCATATTTCTCTTTTTTGCGAAGCGTGTGTGTCTCCTCTTGTCCGGATTGGGCCAATGTTTATGTATAATTCCCTGGGCCAAGTTAGCAGGTGGCAGTTACTTTTTGCACTGCTACCAGACCAAACCAATAACAAATCTTTTCATTAGTTGCGTTAGACAAGTTAGTTAAAAAGTGCACTTTAGGCAAACAAATGCGTATCTGCAAAGAAACGGAAAATTCAAAACAAACCCAATTGAATGGGACAGGAGAGGAAATCAGGTAAGCCAATAACCAGGAGGAACTTGGTCGGAACTTGGCACTTCGTCGGATGCGAAACTTTTATGGGGGCTACTGAGCATAATGAAAGCATAACATTTAGTTAGCACTTGTGCATTCGCTATATAAACTGAAGCCCTGCCCTGCGTGTACCTGCGCCGGATAGACAACAACTTTTCATTAATAACTCAAAAATGTTTTGTCTTCAAAAAGTTCGCCTCACTCTCACTCCTCGCAGTCGGGATCAGGATGCTTCTGCGCTCCGTAGGAAACTTTTATACTGCTGTGCTGAAAACAAATCAAAGGAGTTTCCGACAAAGTTATTTTTCCTCTTTTCTTTTTTTGATGGGCACTGGGGGTCTGGTGGAACAGACTGTGACAAACAATGACAACGGCAATGAGCAAGCCCATGACAATGGCAATTAAAGCTGCAGCTACGGAGCAACAGCTACAGATACGGAATCGGTCCAAAGTTGGTCCGTAAAAAGCTCGGAAACAAGTATGGCAAATGGGTGGGAACTCTGGTAATAAAGGAAAATTATGATGATTTTCTATTTGGCATCGCGCTGAGCAAAATCGTTTGGCGCGAAAACAAAGAACCATAAAAGCGGGTCGATTCTGAGGGGGAGTCCCACTAACCGCTTACCAGCGAGCATCGGAGGGGAAGGCGGAGAACCAAGTGGAAAAGAAATTAAATGACAGGAAAATATAAGTATTAAGCGATAACATTGTTTTCCCATCCCGAGAGCGTTAAGTGAAATCATTCACAGTCGAAGGAACTGGCGACACTGGCGAGTGAGCAAATGGAAAATGAAAAGTGGGTGAGCCTTTGAGTCAATAAGTGGGAAGAACTTTAACTGTTAGGAGTGGAAATGATTCAATCAAACGGATTATCGTTTGATAAACTGAAAAACTAACATTTCGGTGGATGAGCCTCTAAAAATGCAGCAACTTTGATTGTTTTAGTGGCAATATTTCTAAAATATAAACAATAGTGCCGTATGCACCATGATCTTTTCAAATTTACTTAATCTCCCAACTCTTTGACAAATTGGAGCATGAATGATTTTCCAGTTTCCTGTCAAGGCGCCCGCCATTTCAATTTCCATTCTGGCAAGTGCCGTGCTGCTCCTACCACTGAAAACTGCTTGTCGTCATTATCTGCTTGGTAATGTCTGTTTATTAACAATAACGTGTATAAAAAGTCTGCGCGGAGCGAGAAAAATGGCTGAGAAGAAAGCAAAGGAAAGGCAGAACGGCAAAGGGAAAGCGCAAATAATGTTTAAGCAATTTGTTGTCGTTTCGTTTCATTAAATGTCCATTCGCCCCCATTGACCAGCCCCCGCCTCCTCCACTAGCTGACTACTAGACAGTACTCCGTATTTCGTATCTGGGCCGGGGGCTGTCATTATAATTTGCAAAAACTCGCTGGGAGAGCGAAAAAATTAGCAATAAAATGAAAAGCAAAGTGAAATGGCCGCGGGAGCTGAATCTCCGCCAGAGTCGTGGCCACTTGTTGCCAGTGATTTCCTGCACTGATGCTCAGCAGCGGCATCTGCAGATGCGGATGCGGATGCGGGGGCGACTGACGCTTCCTGGAGCTTGGCGCTTCCACTTGGCGGTGTCCGTACGAGGAATCATTATTGCTCTGCCTTGCCTCTCGTGGCAATCTATTTAGGACGTACTCTAGTAGAGGGCCTTTCGAAAACTCAAACTCTTCAGGTTGAAATCTGTATCCGATAACAGCAGTCGCAGCAGAACTTAAAAAAAGAATGTGCATAGGCTAGAAATGCTATAAAACCATATATATCTGGTGCATAAAAGCAGGAGTAGTAATAATCGAAAGGGTATTAGGACTTCTACTGCCAACTCCTGAAACCCGCTTTCGTTACCATCATTTTTTCGATGTTCTCTTTGTTTGTTGCGCCGTAGAAATTATTATTTTTGTGCTGCCTGGCTGGCTAGTCAAGTCGAGCATAGCGAGACTCTGCCCAGTGAAGTCCCGGCGAGGAGTCGTCTTCATGCCACTTGAATGACTCATTAAAAGTGATTTCATTTTAAAACATTTTCCCCGCTGCGGTCGCCGCCCTGCCAGCCCTCCCCCGATCCCCCCGCTGCAGATAGCCCGCTCCACTTTCTTAGTCATTGTCGTTTCTCTGGGCTTAGCGCCTTATCAGCTGGCTGAGCCGCCTCTCATTTCCCGCGTCTTCAAGTTGGCCGTCATTTAATTTACTTTCGAGTTTGCTTTTTTAATTCGCTTAGCTACTTTGACTGTGCGTGCTGTCGTAAATCCTTGAGGGAAAAGCGGAGGAGGTGGAATTGAGGGACAGCAGTAGGACACTTGGCCAGCGATAAGCGTGAGCCAGGCCAAGTTACTTTGCGTAATAAGATGCGAAATTGCAATGTGCAGCCCTCCCGATTCCCTGCCTAATTCCCCAGATAAGCGGCATTATGCGCCACACCGGTGGCACAATGCCAACATCTTCAGCGGCTCCCAGCTCCGAGCTGGCCATGTTGCACATCCTGCTCACCTCAGCTGCTCGTGTGAGTGGGCGCCCCTGGAGCGGCGGACGGATTCATGGTGGACGGCCCTCAGGTGCACCTCCAGCAGGTTGCCTCATCGGAGCCTTGTTCAAATCAAGCCGGCTTATTCTCAAAAATGGATCTAATCAAGGCGGAGCACTTACACAATAGCAACAGAAGTACCTCGAAAGTTATACAAACTTATAAATATAAATATATATAGAAATTGTGAGTTTATTAGTTAAAGGGTAAGTATGCCTTTCAGTCACGGGACTCACTTCCCAGCAATAGCTGGAAGTAACAAATAAGTATATATAGGAAGGGTATACAAGTTACTGAATCATTTATGATCTCCCGACAGCAAGTGAAATAGGTTGAGTGCCTGACACTACGCTACGTATTCGAGTTCCACTTCGGAACGAGGGTCTGGGGCACCGAGCTCGCACTCCGGTGAACTCTGGCGAAGCCCCTGCGATTCGCTTTCATTAGAGTTGCAACGGCGGGTTGAGTGTGTGTGGCTGGGGTCTGGAATTGGTGGCAGCTGTGTGGGCGTTGCTGGTGGGCAATAAATTTCCATTTAGCCATGAACAACAACTAACGGCTTCTGCGACGACCAGCTCCGCTCAGCTCAGCTCAGCTGAACTGGGAAAGCGGCGAAGGAGCGGGCGCGGCCAATGAAGCGTCACGTGGAAATGGTTATAATTGCATCCGCGCTACGCCCCCCCGCACTGCCCCGCGCCCCGTCGTACACTGGGAAACAAGTTTATGAACTGCCATTAATTTGCTTGCTTTGCTTTCAAAACTGTCTCCACTTCGAGAAAATTAGTAAGCTCTGGAGAACGGCTGGGTCTAGGAATCCCACTCTGTTCTGATTTACGCTTCCCACGAAACACTACCTTGTTTCTCTCAGTGCAGCGCGTCCATCTTGCAACGCCAACTGTAGCTGGCACGGGGCAATAATTTTGACGCTTGATTGATCAAAGCAGCAGCGCAGCAGTATCTGCATCCTCGCCGCGGACTG